TCAAGGAAAAAAGAAGAAGGAAATTACAAATATAGAGATCAGGAAACAGAGAATAATAATTGCAGACACAAAAGTTTTGACAAGATTCGAAGTAAGTCCGACTTTTATTTTTAGCAGCAACAACAGTTCTCTTATTATTTAGAAACAGGAAAAAAAACAGTAGAGACGAGAGAATTACAATCAGAATTCATCCTTGAATTCAAACTTCACGAAGTTATTAAATCATCAATCTTACATATATTTATAATGCTGCTTGCTAGAAATAGATTCCCAAAATTAAGGGGTGGGGATATCCTAGACAATATTGTATTTCAATTGTCTATTACATCCCATATTTTAAATTCCTCCGCCTCCTCCCTCTCTGCTCCTCTAAAACCAACTCTGGGCCACAATGCATGTCCCCTTCTCCAGTTCTAAACTTCTCCATTGCAAGCTAGCTCCTGCCTAACTCTTCAATTTTGAAACCACAATGGCCTCTAGAAGGCAGCTGTTTGAGTTGCTAGAAGAGAAGCAAGAGCCTTTCTTACTGCGTACTTACCTATTAGAGCATGGGTGCTCAACTAGTAAGAGCCTTCAAAGGCTCAGCAGTCGAAGGTTCAGGAGAAAAATGGCTGCTTTTAATTGTCTGAGGTCAATATTGACCAAGTTTGTTCATGGCCAGCCATCCAGCAAAGCTCCGAATTGGGATAACAAGACCACGGAGGGTGGCAGACTTAGTAGTGTTTTGAGTTGCTTTTCTGGCATCAGCTCAAGACATTTGGGTGGAGATCGCCAATGGAGATGCATGGAGATAGAGGACTCTAAGCAGCTCAGCCCTGTATCAGTGCTAGGATTCCCTGGCCACAGTACGTTTCTTTTGTCTGTGCATTATAACATTTCACAAAATCCCGCTGAGCACATTTGATAAATCTCATAAATAACGAAATTTTCAAAGAAACGTCCTAAGGGGGGTTAGTCACCTAGAACTTAAAATTAGAACTGGGATAATCTGTGGGATAAAATTTTAAGGTATTAGTCACATAGAACTAAACCTAGAACAAAATTTTAAGGTGTTAGTCACATAGAACTAAAACCAGAATAAAATTTTACAGTGTTAGTCAAGCAGAACTTTAACAAAACTAGAATTGGGATAATTGTACAAAATTATCCCATTTTTTTTATTTTTCTATACAAAAATGAGAGTTCTAGTCTCTCAAATTATTCCAAGTTTTAGCTTGGAACTATGTGGTAAAAAACTAGAACTCGTATTTATTTTGTTATTTTTTATTTTTTTTCTTTACTTATTTCCTATTATGGTTATCACCATCATTAAACCATCATCATAATAATAATTGTCAATATCTTATAGTCTAACCAAAAGTTATTTAATAGTAACGAACATTCTTATAAGCAATTATCAATTAATAATAGTAAGTTTAAAATACATAAATAGTATTTATATCTTCAAAATGCATAAATATATACTTCATGATTATAAAAATTTATCCCATGTTATTTTATCAAAAATATCCTGCTTCACAAAATTGTTCCTAGTTATCCCACTAAAATATCCCACTAGCGAAATATTATTCCACTTTAACAATTATCCCATTTTGCATGAAAATGTCCCAATTGACTAACACCCCCTAAAAACATTTGAGAAATCTCATAAATGACCTTAACGGGCAGAAATAAGTTCCAATTTATGAAAAATTACAGTTCCTTGCGAAAATTCTGAATGATGTGGGAAAAGAAGACGCAACGATCAGGTCACATGTTTAGATTTTTTAATCTATGTACACATCATTATTGTTTATGAGTTTTTTTCGATAGTCAAGAGATTTTCCCTTCTTTCCTTTCCTGATTTATAAAATTCACAAGGTTTTTGTGAATTTTACCCTTTTCCCCATTTTATTGATGAATAGTTCTGAATATTTTTCTCTTATGCATTAGGATCCGAAGAAGAGAATGAATCAACAATGTCGAGTTTCGACTCCCCGGGACAAATGCCTGAAGCCTCTAACTCTTCACATTGCTTCAAGAATCAGGAAGAGAAGCTCCTGATGGATTGTGCAAGAGAGGCAGGAGCAAAAGTTCATTACAAGCATGGACATTTGAGCTCTGATATCAGAGAAAAAGACATACATGAGAAGATTCTCGCATGGCAGAGGATACAAGGAGGCATGAGTAGCTTGTTAAAATTGTTAGGTTCAGATATTTCAGAGTTAAGGAATGAGTGGAGCCAGTTCAGAGCTGAGGTTTCAGTGGTAGGAGTTCAGATGGAAGCGTCCATATTTGAAGAGATCGTAGATGAAACTGTCTTAGAGATTTTGGGCATTCATTGCATATAAACATAGTTTTGAATTCAGCTTCTCACTGAATCAAATGATCAGTTTATTTTTTCTAGTTAGGTGGTCTTTTAATTTTCTTCGTTGCATATCACATTATTAGCTGAGGCTAGCAACGAAGTTCCAACTGAGGATACCTCTAGAAATAAAACATATGATCCTCGATCCAAGTCATAACTTCAAAATATTGAAGCCACGGAGAGATTTTAATATGATATCAAAGCAACCTATGTTCAAATCTTATAGTTAGACAGACAATTAAAAATGATTTTAAACAACATTTCTGTGTAAAATAATCAAAGGTTTGGTCCATGAAAATGACCTTCAACATGCGAGACATATTAGAGAATAATATATTTCCAACCCTCATTTTAACTTTAAAGTTTCAATGCAAAGGAAGAGATGTTGTTAGTGTAACTCAAATTCAGACTTAAACCAAGATTTTTTTAATTTTCTCTGTTGGATAGACATGGGTGAGATTGTACAATGACGATTATTTTTTGACAAGGAATTAAATTGACCACCAATGCAATCCTATTGTCTATAAAACTTGCAGTCAGCTGGTGATAAGGAAAGACACAAGTAAACTTCTATTAGGACTTTAATGGTAGGAAGAATGGAAATCATTATGTGTTCGGACTCTTATTAAGCTTTAGAACATATGGACTTATATTTCTGCTGGAACTTCTATTCCATAAGCAGCAAGGAGTTAGGGTCTTCAACCCTTTATATGTGTTAAATATAGTTATTAGGCATATTGTATCTATTTCTTTTAGTCCTACATCACTTAGGATACTAAAATCTCTTCTCTTGCTCTTGTATTTAAATATTTCAGTGCAATGAATAAAATAGTCTCTTTTTTCTCAAAAGATCTATTCTTAAAATGGTATTAGAGCCATCCTCTTGATCCCAGATAGACCTATTTCTTCTTCCTTTACATCGAGCTATCTAGGGGGTCTTGCCAAAAACTCCACGCTTCCCCTCGGTGGCCTCGACACCGAATTCAACCTTGACACACCTCCCCATCGCTCACAACCACTCATCGTCCTCTGCTCACTGTAAAACCCTTACCCTAACCTTTGCCGAACGACACTGTTCATCAGGGAGTACTGTTAACCCGCTTTCTGAGTTACTGTTCATCCTGAACCTCACTGCTTCAACATTAGGTTCGATAGTAACCTCTTCTTAGCCGCCACTATTGCTAAGGATAACCCTTGTTATCGTAGATCAGCTTTGAGCAAGTTAGACTTGCTAGTGGTCATTGTCCTTGCGGCTTCAACTATAGTCCAAAAATAACGAAATTTTCAAAGAAACGTCCTAAGGGGGGTTAGTCACCTAGAACTTAAAATTAGAACTGGGATAATCTGTGGGATAAAATTTTAAGGTATTAGTCACATAGAACTAAACCTAGAACAAAATTTTAAGGTGTTAGTCACATAGAACTAAAACCAGAATAAAATTTTACAGTGTTAGTCAAGCAGAACTTTAACAAAACTAGAATTGGGATAATTGTACAAAATTATCCCATTTTTTTTATTTTTCTATACAAAAATGAGAGTTCTAGTCTCTCAAATTATTCCAAGTTTTAGCTTGGAACTATGTGGTAAAAAACTAGAACTCGTATTTATTTTGTTATTTTTTATTTTTTTTCTTTACTTATTTCCTATTATGGTTATCACCATCATTAAACCATCATCATAATAATAATTGTCAATATCTTATAGTCTAACCAAAAGTTATTTAATAGTAACGAACATTCTTATAAGCAATTATCAATTAATAATAGTAAGTTTAAAATACATAAATAGTATTTATATCTTCAAAATGCATAAATATATACTTCATGATTATAAAAATTTATCCCATGTTATTTTATCAAAAATATCCTGCTTCACAAAATTGTTCCTAGTTATCCCACTAAAATATCCCACTAGCGAAATATTATTCCACTTTAACAATTATCCCATTTTGCATGAAAATGTCCCAATTGACTAACACCCCCTAAAAACATTTGAGAAATCTCATAAATGACCTTAACGGGCAGAAATAAGTTCCAATTTATGAAAAATTACAGTTCCTTGCGAAAATTCTGAATGATGTGGGAAAAGAAGACGCAACGATCAGGTCACATGTTTAGATTTTTTAATCTATGTACACATCATTATTGTTTATGAGTTTTTTTCGATAGTCAAGAGATTTTCCCTTCTTTCCTTTCCTGATTTATAAAATTCACAAGGTTTTTGTGAATTTTACCCTTTTCCCCATTTTATTGATGAATAGTTCTGAATATTTTTCTCTTATGCATTAGGATCCGAAGAAGAGAATGAATCAACAATGTCGAGTTTCGACTCCCCGGGACAAATGCCTGAAGCCTCTAACTCTTCACATTGCTTCAAGAATCAGGAAGAGAAGCTCCTGATGGATTGTGCAAGAGAGGCAGGAGCAAAAGTTCATTACAAGCATGGACATTTGAGCTCTGATATCAGAGAAAAAGACATACATGAGAAGATTCTCGCATGGCAGAGGATACAAGGAGGCATGAGTAGCTTGTTAAAATTGTTAGGTTCAGATATTTCAGAGTTAAGGAATGAGTGGAGCCAGTTCAGAGCTGAGGTTTCAGTGGTAGGAGTTCAGATGGAAGCGTCCATATTTGAAGAGATCGTAGATGAAACTGTCTTAGAGATTTTGGGCATTCATTGCATATAAACATAGTTTTGAATTCAGCTTCTCACTGAATCAAATGATCAGTTTATTTTTTCTAGTTAGGTGGTCTTTTAATTTTCTTCGTTGCATATCACATTATTAGCTGAGGCTAGCAACGAAGTTCCAACTGAGGATACCTCTAGAAATAAAACATATGATCCTCGATCCAAGTCATAACTTCAAAATATTGAAGCCACGGAGAGATTTTAATATGATATCAAAGCAACCTATGTTCAAATCTTATAGTTAGACAGACAATTAAAAATGATTTTAAACAACATTTCTGTGTAAAATAATCAAAGGTTTGGTCCATGAAAATGACCTTCAACATGCGAGACATATTAGAGAATAATATATTTCCAACCCTCATTTTAACTTTAAAGTTTCAATGCAAAGGAAGAGATGTTGTTAGTGTAACTCAAATTCAGACTTAAACCAAGATTTTTTTAATTTTCTCTGTTGGATAGACATGGGTGAGATTGTACAATGACGATTATTTTTTGACAAGGAATTAAATTGACCACCAATGCAATCCTATTGTCTATAAAACTTGCAGTCAGCTGGTGATAAGGAAAGACACAAGTAAACTTCTATTAGGACTTTAATGGTAGGAAGAATGGAAATCATTATGTGTTCGGACTCTTATTAAGCTTTAGAACATATGGACTTATATTTCTGCTGGAACTTCTATTCCATAAGCAGCAAGGAGTTAGGGTCTTCAACCCTTTATATGTGTTAAATATAGTTATTAGGCATATTGTATCTATTTCTTTTAGTCCTACATCACTTAGGATACTAAAATCTCTTCTCTTGCTCTTGTATTTAAATATTTCAGTGCAATGAATAAAATAGTCTCTTTTTTCTCAAAAGATCTATTCTTAAAATGGTATTAGAGCCATCCTCTTGATCCCAGATAGACCTATTTCTTCTTCCTTTACATCGAGCTATCTAGGGGGTCTTGCCAAAAACTCCACGCTTCCCCTCGGTGGCCTCGACACCGAATTCAACCTTGACACACCTCCCCATCGCTCACAACCACTCATCGTCCTCTGCTCACTGTAAAACCCTTACCCTAACCTTTGCCGAACGACACTGTTCATCAGGGAGTACTGTTAACCCGCTTTCTGAGTTACTGTTCATCCTGAACCTCACTGCTTCAACATTAGGTTCGATAGTAACCTCTTCTTAGCCGCCACTATTGCTAAGGATAACCCTTGTTATCGTAGATCAGCTTTGAGCAAGTTAGACTTGCTAGTGGTCATTGTCCTTGCGGCTTCAACTATAGTCCAAACTCAATCGCTGCAAACTCTCACCTTACGAAACCCTAGCAGTTCCTCCATGACAAACCTCTGCCTGACAACACCACCGCTGCTTCGTTGGTGTAATTTCATGAACTATTCATCATATGCACATAGGGTGTTCGACGAATTGCCTTAGCCAGATTTCTTACTCCTTGGCTAGCCTTTGGCCAAAGTCTCTCTAGCCTAACGCTTTCCACTCATTAATTCTTGCAAGATCCGGTCAATGTGCCTCCTCTAGCGACCGTAGGTCTTCCCTCTTGTGACCACCATGCGTGACCGCCGATCAGTGCTGCAATACTATACCTTGCTACTTACAAGATCCAGTCACCGTGCCTTCTTCCTTGACTATAGTTCTGCCCTTTAGCGACCACCGTGTGTGACCATCGATCACCACTGTAATAACATGATCTCAACGCCTGCAATTCTATGCACCGTTATGCTCCAATTCAATCACCTCTCGCTAAGCCATGCTAATAATCATCTATGCAAATTTGGCTCGTCTGATCCAAACTCTCAATTCTCTACTGAGCATGAGTTTGACCGGGGGTGTTAAATATAGTTATTAGGCATATTATATCTATTTTTTTAGTTCCATATCACTTAGCATTACTAAAACCTCTTCTCCTGGCCTTGTATTTAAACATTTTAGAGCAATGAATAAAATAATATTTTTTCTCCCAAAACTCTATTCTTAACAATGTGCACATTCCAAGCCAATTATCAACATCAATCTATAGAGCCCCAATCAAGAACAAAGAGTTCTCATGTTAAGCTTATTTGATATATTTCTGCCTTTTGTTCCTTTATTTGATAAAGATCGTATTAAGATTTTGGGGTGTTGGGATTGAGTGATTGAGAGATCCCCACATTGTATTCCACACAATTTAATAATATTTTCCTCTTTCACTCGTGGATGTAGGTTACAAGCTGAACTGTGTATTTCGTGTTCTTTATATTTTTATGCCCTTTCATGTGATTGATATTAGTTTATCATGTGGATTTATCATAACAGACTTTAAGTAGGAAGACAACCTGCATGTAGTTGTCTGATTTTTTTTCTTCTCAAGCTAGGAGAGAACATGTTATTGGAAATTATGGTTAAATCTGGAATTAAACAGTGGAATTTAGATGTGCTGTAATTTTAATTTTTTTCAGTTAACTATTGTGCGTTTGTGAAATGTTATGCTTAAAGTAATATTTGGTCTACTCCGGTATAAGGATCCCAATACCAAACTGTTTTTAGGAACAACAGTATAGTACTCTGGTGTGCACCAACCTAGTACTATCAAGATCTCCTCGATCTATAAGACTTTTTGGTCAAGGCAAAAGATCTCATTGATCTCAGAACATTTTGGTTCAAAACCTTTCGATTTCAGGGTTCATGCGGGCACAATTTCTACAACAGCAGCACAACAACATCAATCTGATGTTCGTTTTCCAAGCTCGCTTGTGTATACCAACGTTCGTATTCCACGCTCACGAGAGAGTTTCCACTACAACTAAGAGCTGCCCAAGGGCGCTATTTATAGGCCTCTAAGGCCAGCTCAAGAGTCACTAGCAATTAATATGACTGTTACAATTCTCAATGGTAATTAAAATTGTAACATCAATGCATTAAATTACTCTTAATGCTGTTGTAACTACAGCATACAGTAACTCCTGAATACGAGGCAATCAATGGACGCGTTGCTACAAAATGTGAGGGTCACGTCTCATCAAATCAGATGAACCTCATTTGACAAACAAACATCGTCAAACAGGCGAACCTCGTATGACAGACGAACCTCATCGAACGAGCGAACATAGTCAAACAGGCGAACCTCGTATGACAGAAGAACCTCATCGATCGAGCGAACCTCGTCAAATAGGCGAACCTCATATGACAGACAAACCTCGTCAAACAAGCGAACCTCGTATGACAGACAAACCTCGTCGAACGAACGAACATCGTCAAATAGGCGAACCTCATATGACAGATGAACCTCGTCGAATGAGCGAACCTTGTCAAATTATGAGAACGCTAGGGTCACCCTCGTGCCAATACGTAGCTCGTCTGCATGCTGCGAAGCAGCCTGTGAGGCGGCCATAGTGGCGCCAAACAGCCCCACCTCGCCCCGATACCTCCGTGCGAAGTGCGCCTAACAAAGCATCACTTAGCGCCTCAGCCCGATTAGCCCTGATCCCTAGCCCATTGGCCCACGGCCCACTGCCCACTAGAACTTATAAGGGATTAATCAAATAAAATACTTCTCGGCTTGCCGTTTGTAAGCCTCGAACAAGGGGCCTTTTGAAATACCAAAACATAAACTTTTCACTAGGCTACTAATCATTTATGAAAAGTACTTGTAGTTAATATATATATAGTTTAAAAACTCATTTTGGAAAGCAATTTTGACCAAAAAAATCCAACAATCCCCCACAAGTTTAAAAACTAGTTTCGTGTTATGGTGTCGTCGTTTCAATCGTTGTACATAAGGTAGATGTCACAAGGACTTGAATCCCCCTTAGACCAACTGAATAGAAGATAGATGTATGGTGTCGCAGAGACTTGAACCAGCACATGTCTAAAATCCAGCGATCACACATGATCAAACTCATCTGTGGTAGTTTTTACTTTGAACCACACTTGCCTTTGCTTTTGCACATTTATGGCCCTGTGCTAGTCCTCGTTTCTGCTAGGGCTCTAGGTATCTTTCCACAAGACACCATAGGAGACAGCCAAATCTTCACCCAGGCATAGGTGACTTCTTTAGGTATATTTCCTATCAAACATCCCGCATCTGAAATGCTTTGAACTCATTAAGACTTAAGAGTCATCCTCTCTCATGATAAGATTCTAGGCGAGTCCTTTAGGCGTGTTTCCTATCTAACACCTTGCATCCGAAATACTTTGGACCCATTAAGACTTAATAGCTAACCCTTTACATGATAGGATTATTAGTGAGTCATTTAGGCATGTAACCTATCCAACATCCCACATCCAAATGCTTTGGACTCATTAAGGCTTAACAGCCAACCTCTTTACATGATAGGATTTTACTTGTAAATCTTACTTGACTTTTGAACCAATCATCTTATCATTAGTAGTGTAGGCTTTGAACTAATAACTTGACAAAATGGTAAGTATTTGTAAGACTCACCAAACTTTGCAAATCTTACTTGACTTTTGAACCAGTTATCTTTATTATTAGTAGTGTAAGCTTTGAACTAATAATTGGATGAACATGGTAAGTATTTGTAAGACTCATAAAAATTTAAGACCCATTGCAGCAGATATCCTTTCAACTATGTCTTTTTTCAGACCTTTAATCAAAGGATCAGCCACATTCTCTAAAGACCGAACGTCAATCACCAAGATGACTCCTTGGAAAATGAGTTCTCTCAAATAGCCATGCTTCAGACGAATGGTCAGCTTCTTTCCATTGAACAACGAGTTTGCTACCATAGTACCCGTTGCCTGATTATCACAATAGATTGTAATTGTGCCTTGTAATTCTGTCAATGGAAGGTCTCAGAGAATATAACTGAGCCACTCAGCTTCATCTCCTGCAGCACAGAGTGCGAAGAACTCAAATTCCATCGATGACTGTGCAATCATAGTTTGCTTCTTAGATTTCCACGATATGGCAGCTCTGCCCATGGTGAAGACGAAACCTCTAGTAGATCTGCACTCATCTGATTCTGAGCACTAGCTCGCATATGAATAGCCTTCGATTACAGTTGGATATCCAGTGTAGAATAGGCCCAGACCTGTGGT